AAATAAATAAACTTTAAAAAAAAAACAAGGGACCATGGAGATAACTCAGTGGTCTAAGCACCTGCCTAGACAAGCAGAGGGACCCGGATTCAATCCCTGGTACTGCATGCTGTGCTGGCCCAGCCCCCAGGGTGCACTGAATGAGCCACTGAGACAGGTGTAGTGTGGTGCACGCCTGTAATCCCAGCACTGGGGAGACTGAAGCAGGAAGAGCATCACAAGTCTAAGCTGCCTAGTGAGACCCTGTAACAAATGCAAAGGCTCCAAACTAAAAGTTTGTTTCACCTGTCTGAGGAAGAAGAGGAAAAACGACATAGCCAGCGAAGAGCAAGTAAAAATAAGGGTGTAAAAAAGTGGTTGCCAATATGCTAAGGTCCAATCACAGAGGGTGTATGCACATGTAGGACTAGGATCTTAGAGTTTTTATAAATATTGATATAGGTAAAATAAACTTATTTTAGTTGAGTGATTTCACTTTATTTGACAAAGGGCTTTTCATTGGAAGAAATAACTCATTAGAACAGGGTTTTTTTTTTTTCCTATAATGGGTTCAATTAATCAAACTTGTTTGGGCTCCTATTATCTGTCAGGAAAATAAAAATTGCAAATGGAAAGATTTTCAAAGCTTGTAGTTCATTTTGAAATAACAACCTTCTTACCAGAGCTCTTTTTATATTCTTACTCAGGCCAAAAGAAATTATAATGTAAGTTTTAATGATGGTACATAGAGGGACTTTTATCTTTTCACCCACGTTGTTTCACCATAAGAAAGGTGCTGTCTTAAAAAATTTCATACAATTATTTTTTACTGTGAGCTGTAGATATTTAAAAATGATAGCACAGAGCAAAAGGTTTTGCATTTTAATAAAAGATTTACTGAACGAAGCCAGCGAGGTGCAAAGAAGGCTTTTCTGCAATTTACACCAATACTAGAAGGCTTTGCTGCAGTTTATACCAATATCTAATTTGTATTTTGTACGTCTAACATCTATCAAGGAAACAGCCTAAGCAACTCATGCTGAAACTTAGCATGAACATTTTCTATTGCTTCTTCTACTAAACACTGAAAAACAAAACAAAACAAAAAAATACACTTTCTGGATTTTTCGTCTGAATATGTGTCAGTCAATAATTTCTAGAAAGAATGATGTTTTACCCAATCCCTTTAACTTCAATATTTGAGAGTATGACATTTCATCATACTGTATATTAGTAATCAGTATTGATTGACCATAGAACAAACTAAAGTGCTTTGAAAGAGGAATTTGTTGGTAATTCTTCTATTTTTAAGATTTAGCTTGATGTTCCACTCTGATTGAATTGTATCTGCTTAGTCCCAGTATATTTTTCCCAATATTTTACCTTATATCAAATGAATATTGCTGTCTTGTCATCTACACTGCATAAAAATCAGTGCTGACTTTCTTACCTGGGACTGTCTCAGCTGCAACTCCTTGTCTCTCTCCATTCTGTACTGGTCAATTTCTGCCATTGCTTCTTCCTTAGCTTGCTTCAATCGTTTTCCTTTTCCTAAATATTAACAGTGACATAAAAGAACGGATATTTCTTTTTAATATACATGGAATGCCAAATGACGTTTTAGAATGGAAGCTTTTTTTTTTTTTTTCTTTGCTAGTGGGAATCGAACTCAAGACCACAAATTTGCCAAGCAGGTGCTACGCCACTAAGCTAAGTCCCCAGAGAAACTTGACTTTTTAAAACATGGATGACTTTTCCATTTTTTGAGTAATTTTTTTCTAGAAGATCAACTGCATTAAAAACATAAGTAATTTTTTTTTCTGTTTGAGTCTCTATAACATGGAAATGACAACTTTCTTTCACACTTACATGTTTAAATAAAATATCTGCCCATTTATTCACAGTAGTAACAGCCAGAGAACAGATTTTAGCTGTCACTTACTCAAAAAGACATTATTTGGTCAGATTTTCTGTCCTGATTTGCTGCCAGGAATCCTTTAGTCCATGCCAACTGGATCCTATTTACCACTGGCAGATGTCCAACATCGCTACAAACATGCAACTCAGACTCTATCAAACTGACTTACAATTTTCTTAAACATTTTATTGGGATTTTTGCTTAACATTTGTTACTTTAGAATGTCTGATTAAGCTCATAATACATCAAAGTAGTTTCTTTTTTCCTTTTTTTTTTTTTTTTTTTTGTAGTGCTTTCTCAGAGGGGGACTGGCAAGTGGCCGTAAAAACAACCGTTTTTAATGGTTAGGAGATTTAGTAAAGTAGCCATTTTTCTTTTATTAAGAGCAAAGGTGTAAGCCTTAAGCCAGCACACAAGGTAGATGAAAGTTTTAGACAAATACAAAACTGTAGGCATCGTTAAGAAAGCACATGAGTTTTTTGTCAACCAAAATAAATATGCTTTTGGAGTTATGAATTAAGAATTGCTGCTAGACCCTCACCACCCTCTATCTTCAGGGGCTTCATACTAACTCCTGTAATAAGTAAAACCTCGAAAAACTGAATTATATTAAAATTCACCTTTTCTGGAGCACCATCTTTCAATTTCAGTGAAATGCCTTTCTTTTTTCTTTTGTTCATGTAATATGGTTTATTTTCTATAACAGTGTCTCAAATTTTTGTTTTTAGCTTTGGTTAAGTATGTTTCATTGTATAGAAGTTGAATTAGATAAGCGTGTTCTGATTAAGGTGCATGACAAATGTAGTATAAGTTGGGTCTATCTACCTATCATCTATCTAATCATCTGATCTGCTTCTATGTCTTCATATGATTTAAATGCATATTCCTTCTAAATTTTTCTCCCAGTTAGGTCTTAGTTGCTTTGCTAGTCACTGAATATGTATTTTGGATAAAAATAGATTCACTGAGTTACAAATTGAAATGTGTTTCTTTTAAATGTCCATCACCTGTCAGTGGAACTGAATAAATCTTGTCCAGAATAATTAGCTCCATCTTTGCTCTCTGTAAAACCCAAGATCTGATGAAATGCAATGTACTTCTGCTGAGAGACTTAGGGGAACATTGACAGTGAGGCTTACCTTGTGCCTTCTGAAGTGCCCATTACCATTTTGTATATTTTGCTTGCTTTATTCCTCTATGGTTCTAATCATTTTGTGGTAACACAACACAACCTATTCAGGGGCCAGGGAGATGACTCAGTGGAATAAGCGCTTCCCTGGCAAGCACAAGGGCCTAAGTTCAATCTCCGGTTCCACAAAAAACAAAACGAAACCCAAAAACCCAAATGCAACCTATTCAGAGATTTTCTATGAACAGAGCAACTAAATGCTATGTTGGTGGGGGAGACTATTCCTTGGTCTCCATCTCACTTAGCACTGCTTTTCATCAACATCAGGATGAAAATATAAAGTGGTAATATGTGAATATTTTCTTGATAATAGTGAGTTGTACAAATACTTATTTTATAAAAGAAATGGCATAAAACATTATTACTCTCCATCTTAAGTACATACTACATGAAAGTATCGCCTTCAAAGTTATAGCTCTATGGATGGCACGTTAAAAAAATAATAGCAGAAGCTCTGTGTGCCCTACCCCTGAGCAGAATCCCACACTCCACTGAAAGGTTGCATATTAGCTCCATCACGTGGTGACAGTCTTGGAGTGTGCCTGTGATTCCCCTGTTGTGGCACCAGTCACCTGCTGGTTCTCATTCAATTAAATAGGAGAGCCATGAGGAAATCGCTGCTGGCACAGCAATTTTCTGGATAGACTCAGCAGCTGCCGCTGTGTGAGAGCCTGCAGATGCTACACCTGATTTAATCCACTGGAAGAAGTGGGAGCCTAAAGCCTACTGTTCTGTTCGAGGTGAAGCAAAACGCACGTGTCATATTCACTAACGTTAACCTCTAGCTCTAGCTTGTTTCTCTGGGTAGGAGGAGTGCCAGATTTTGAAATCGTATCCATTTCCTGTTAACCATCCAAAGCATATTTGCTGTGACCAGAAAGGAGTTCTATTTTATTCTATATACACTGTATTATATGTAGGGTCACCAGAGAGAACCAGATTTTCTTTTCAACAATTGGATCTATATTCCTCACATACCTACAAGGTTACACAAGGTCATCAAGGAAAATGTTTTGATTTTTGGTTCTGAAAACATGTTCATCTAATATAGCATGATTTTATTTACTTACTTAAAATTTATGGATTTTGGTACAGAGTCTCACTACGCAGCTCAGACACATAGTGATCCTCTTGTTTTTAGGCTCCCCAGCGCTGTAATTACAGGCATGAACCACCACACCTGAACTCAGGGGCTGGCTCAGGGGGTGGGGCTGGTGCACCATGTAGTAATGGGAATCAAACCCCTACACTGTAATTTTAAACAGTGTAAAAAATATGTAGCAGAGTGGTTCAGAAAAGGATGGGTTTTATTTTCTTCTTTCGTCTTTTTTTGTTACCTACTGTATAAACACATAGAAAAAGGATAAATGCATGTCTTCTGGTCCTTGCTTCAAGTTGGCATAGATTCTGTAGAGTTTGAAAATGTGTATCTGTTACCCAAGATTTCAAGAGAAAATGTCTAAAACAAATGAAACTACAGAGTATGTAAAATTAATTATGAAAATAATGAAACATAATTCCTGGTTGTTTATTATGGAAGAGTTAAAATTCATGCTATTTATGGGGATTTTAACTTCAGTCTGGAAAATCTGTGCTTCTTTCTCACCCTAATTATTATGTTGGATTAAGTCAGTGTATGTTAATAGGGTAAGCTACAAATATGAACAAATATGCCCAGATTTATACCATGAGAACTCTGAGATGGCTTCAGGAAAAACTTCTGGAAAGGAAACCACTGAGCAGAGTAGACTTATTAGCCAAGAAAGCAATGGGGGTGACAAGACATTTTGAGTACTTAAAAAGGGCTAGAAGATCCTTTCTAAGATAGTTTTGAGGGTTCTGTAAATAGTTCCACTTTAATAAAACCACATCCATTATTAGACATGCGAAGTGTTATGCAGATAGGTTCCCATTTAACAAGCCATTATTGAAA